CCCCGCTCGGGCGGGCGGGCGGGGACGGCCGAGGGGAGGGCCCGCCGGGGGCCGACCTGCCGGCTCCTCCCCCCGCCGCTCTGCGAGCATAAAGCCCCGCGCTCGCCCGCGCGCCTGGGCGCCCGCGGAGGCGGCGGCGCCCGAACCCTGCTCCCGTCGGGCTCCCGGGTCCCCGAGGGGGAGAGAGACCCCGAATCTCGAGACGGGCCGGGACCTGGGCGCGGCCGCACCCCCCACCCACCCCGGCACGGGGGCCGGGCCTCGGGAACGCCCTCCCGGAATGAAGCGCTTCCCGGTGCCTTCAAGGTAGCTCGGTTCCGGATCGGGGACCCCCTAGTCCTCCCTCTCAGGTCCCCGCTATCCAGAATCTAAGAGATCCCCAATCTCCTTGGGTCGGGAGGGAGATAGCCCCCCAATCCCCTCACGTATTCCCCCAGTCGGAACGAGAAGCGTCCTCGGAGCCCCCAGTTCCCCCGAACCTAATTTAGGGTTCCCCTCGGCGGCCCTCAGTCCACTCCCACTGTCCCGCTTCCCCCATATCTTCTTTGGGACCCCTCTCAGTGCCTCGCTTCCCGAGTGGGGAGCCTCCATCAGCACCCCTGTGGAAACCGTGTCAGTTTCCCCAATCCCTCTTCAACCCTTGTTGTCTCCGAGTGAGAATCCCTCTCAGGTCCCCCAGATCCCTTCCGTACACACTCGGGGACTGTACAGTCTGTCGAGAAAACCCTTGCCCCGAGCCCGGGTTTCTAGTTTGCCGACCCCCATCCCACCCCGCAGTGTGAGGAGTCGCCACTGTTTCCCTCACTCCCTGGCTCACTCTTGTCAGCCCTACTCGAACTTCTGTCTGGATTCGGGAAAGCCGGTTCCAGACGCTCACCGCCCACTCCCCACAGAGGCTGGTGGAAAGGTCAGCGACTCTACAGCCTCCCGTTTCCAGTTTAGGAGACCGATGGCTCAGCTGTGCACCTTCCCCTCTGAATGACCACCCCCCTTTTGGGGCAGGATTCTAAGCCCCACCCCATCGAATTGGAAGAACCTAAACTGCCTGCCTACTGCGTTAGGAGTGACTTCTCAGTCCGTCTGAATTTGCCCATGGAGGCAAACGCCTTCACTTCCCCTCCTCCCCATCTTCTGGGTCTCTGAGATCCTCCAGGGCTTTGCCCCAGGCTTCTGGGGGCCCTTTCACCCACCCCCTTGAACTCCCTCCCTCTAGCCGGGGAACCCTGAGACAGTCCATCCTGGATCGCCCCAGGATCCAGGGCCACTCTCTCTATCCCCACCTCTCCAAATCCAAATCCTCTCCTCAATTCTCTGGTTGAAACCAGGCAAGAAAGGGTCAAGGCAGGAGAATGAGGCAGCCACTCCTCTCCAAAGCCCCAACCCCGCTGAGGGTCTCAGTGCCACTCACAGCCCCTCCCTCCCAATTCGCCTCCCACGCCTTCCCCCACCCACTTTTAGTCCACCCTGTGTAGCTCAGTGACAATCCTTGATGACAAGCCCCTTTCCCACCTTGACCTCCATCCTCAAGTCAGCCACCTTTTATTAAGGTGTGCAGGAGCTCTGGGCAACATAACCGTGACCTCTGGAAGCGTGCCCATCCCCCTCCTCTCAGGATCCCTTTCCTGCCCGCACTGCACCCACCTCTCCGGTAACAACGTGAGAGACTCAAGTTAATGGTTTCCTCAGGGACCTTCTGGGAACACTCAGCAGGTATATCCTGCCACCCTGTGTGCATAACACTAGAAACAAACTTGCTTTTTCCTGTTTTTATGACTTGTCCCATCATTTCTCAGAATACCCTGGACTGCGGGTGGGGGGCACCCCACACGGCATTTGTCACCATCTTAATACAAACTGGAATGTTAGGTGTGTCCTGGAAGAGATACAGATGAGGATCAGCAGGGAGTAACACTGGTGTTAGGGAACTATTCCTAGGTCTAAACTTCAGGTTTCCTGTGTGCAAAATGGGGCCAATGGGGAGGTGCAGGGAGGAGGGAGCCCCAAGCACCCATGAACATTAATTTCAGTGCTGGGCAGGTGGCTGGGAGCGTAGGAAATGGGTAAGGGTCATTTGTTCAGAGCCAGCCAAGCCCACGGGAGAGAGGATCCATTTATTAGAGCCTTCATGCAGGACCTCAGAGGAGGAAGCTTCTCCCTGTCACTACCTGTCACGTGTAGGGTAAACTTACAGAAGTCCCCTCCTACTGCAGGTTCCTCCCAGGCTCTGTCTCCTTCCACTTTGTTCACAGTAGGAGCAAGGAATCCTTCTAGGGGTAGCCCTCACAGGACAGTGCAGCTGTAAATGGATGATCCTCATAGTAAATTGAGGATCTCAGCGGTATTAAGAAAAAACGATCTTTAAGAGCAACGGGCCCAGACCGCCAGAATTAGGAGATTAGAGGATGCGGTTCCAGTTCTTTCTCTCCGGTATGACATATCCTGAACATCACTCAGAGAATCAAAACAGAAATTGCTCTATACTTTAAAAAAAAATCCTTTTGAGAAATACAGTGGGTGAGTGACATTTCACCCAAGCACCAAGATGCAATTTGGCACATTCATTCATTCATTCCACAAATATTTATTGAACACCTGCTACCTACCAGACACTGTCTTAGGTGCTATATTCCTACCACCTACCTTGGTGAAACTTGCTTACTAGAGACAGGAGTCAAATAATAAATAAATAGATAGATAAACTAGTGATGTGTCACTTAGATGTTGGTAAGTGCTAAGGAGAAGGAAGGAGACTAGAGAGGGTGGGAGGCATGGGGGAGAGAGTGATATGCTATTCTATTTTATTTATTTTAAAAACTTTTTTGGGGGTAGGTAATTTGGTTTACTTATTTATTTATTTTTAAAGGAGATACTGGGGAATGAACCCAGGACCTTGTGTATGCTAAGCATGTGCTCTACCACTTGAGCTATAACCTCCCCCTCTGCAATTTTCAATCAGGAAAGTTCTCACAGGGAGAGGGGTGTTTTAGCAAAGGCTTGAAGGAAATTAGGTACATTAATCTGTTATCCAGAATTCTCATTTAAGCAGAGTCTCTACATCTCTTGCGTGCAATGATAATTGATATTCATAGTTTGATTTTTCACTGCTCTAAAGCAGTGGTTTCCAAACTTTAATGTGCATAAAAAAACCACCCAGTGATTTTCAGTAGACGCAGGATAGATGGGGGCTCTGAAAACTGTATTTTTTAACAAACACTTCTATCTGATGATGCTGATAGCTGAGGTTTTCCTTGGACCACTCTTGAAGAAACACTGATTAAAAATAGTACTAAAGAGTCTTCTAGAATGACAACAACAACAAAATTAAAGATTAAATTATAGTCTGTGTGGTTTTAGTGTTGAGAGTATTTCACTGTGTTCTCATTCTTTGAAAATGCAAGACTCAAGCAAAACCCCAGATTACCCAGAACATCCCATTTCTTGTCCACACAGGAGAAGGGAAAATTTATTGTAAGCTGGTTAGGAGCCAAACATTTATAATCAGTCTGTTTTACACTCTTCCCCCCATTTTTGCCCTAATTTCTCTCTCTACTTTTTACTTTTCCCTAATTTCTGAACTCAGCAGGTGATTGGCCGGTGTCATGAAAACACTTGACTGAGAGTCAAAAGATCCACAGCATGGCCCCGGAACCCCCACTGTTTCTGGTTGGGTGAGTCTGGGGATTTGCCGCTCAGTCTTCTGAGCTTCCATTTACTCTCAGAGTTGCTGTGAGACTTAAGTGAGATCATGTACATGAAAACACCTTAAAAATTCTGAAGCACTCTAGAAAGGTAAGGAGGCTCTGTGACTGTGTATTCCTGGGTCTAGTTAACTTGGTCCAGCTGAAATTCAGTTACCTTCAGGACAGTGTGGAAGTAGCATAAAGATATACGTATAGATCAATAGAACAGAATCGAGAGTCCAGAAATAAACCCTCTCACTTACAATCAACTGATTTTTGATAAGGGGATGAACACAATTCAATGGGGAAAAGAACAGTCTCTTCAACTGGATTGTCCACATGAAAAGAATTCAGTGGCACCTCTACCTTACATCATATACAAACATCAACTCAAAAATCAAAATGGTTCAAAGACCTAAATCTAAGAGCTAAACTATAAAAAGAAAGATAGATCAATCAGACATCATTAAAATCAAAATCTTTGCGCTTCAAAGGACACCATCAGGAAAGTGAAAAAAAAAAACCCATAGAAAAGGAGAAAATTTTTGCAAGTCATAAATTTTATAAGGGACTTGTATCTTGAATATATAAAGAAGTCTTACAACACAATAAT